TATATATAAATAAATATATATATATATATATATATATATATATATATATATATATATATATTATGAAATTGTCAATATAAAAATAATTTTTTTATATTTTTTTATTAATGTTTGAATTATTGTTAAAATATATATTTAAACTGTTTAAACAGGTTTTACTATATTTTGTATTGTAAAATTATTTTTGAAATCATCTAATCAAACAAATTTATTATCTTAAAAAATATTAAAACTATTTTTTTAAAACTCTTCTCAAAAATTATTTTTAGATACTAATTTTTAAAACGCAAATCAAACATGTCCCGAGAATCCGGTTTAAGAAAACCATTCTAGCACCTTAAACTTTTCAACTATAACACTATTTTTTTGGGGAGCAATTCATCAAACAGTGAGAATCCAGTTTAAGAAAACCATTCTAGCACCAAATCCTGAGATGATGAGGAAACAAGTAAACTCAGATACGATTTGTGAATTCATACGATGGGAATTGACAGAGCTACCAATCATTTTTGGCAGTAGCATTACTTTGACAGGAAACTCTGCCGTACCCAAAAAAAATAAATGTAGTATCAGTACCACCAGTTATTAATTTTTATAGTAAAATTATAATTTTAAAAAAAAGAGTATAAATGTTTAAGAGAATGTCGTGATCAATTGTAGCCACTCACGATCGATCTCAACTTTTTATGATTAATCATGCTATTTAAAGTTATAAATTACATCTCAAAAAAATTATAACTTAGTCTTAAGAAAATTCAATCCGTTATCTATTATTTCTCTTAAACTCGATTTTGTTGTGATTTAAACACTAAATATTAACTAAATTATTCATTCTTATAAAAGATCCAAAACAAAACGTAATTTAATTTCAAAAATAATTGTTTCTTGTAGCAAACAAATAATAACTAAATATAAGTAAAAATTACAAATATAAACAAGTAAATGATCCTAAAAATTTTAAAGATAGTAAAATAATTTAACAAAAAGATAATAATGAATTTATTTGTAGTCAATCTTGTAATGCGATAATTTTGACGAAGAATGTACAAAACATATAAGAACAACATAAAAATATAAATGAGACAATATATTATAATCCTATCAAAATATTTGTGATCATAAGTCATACTATAAATTTAATAAAAAAAAAAAAAGAAGTTAGCATAATTTGAAAAAAAAAAATTAATTAGTAAGTTTTAAAATTTAAAATATTATTAAAAATAAAAAAAAAATCTTATTAACACTTATCGCTTTAAACCTTCTCGAGCAATTCATCAAACATTTTTTTGAAACCATTCTCTAAAAGGAGTCGAGCGAAGAAGAAAATCTACCTCCAATCCTTGATTACCCAGTTTCACCCTTGGGATTTGGTGTTGGTGCTTCTCTTCCATTTCTCCTCAAGAACCCCAGCTTGGTTGAGTCATCTCTCTCTCTCTCTCTCTCTCTCTCTCTCTCTCTCTCACACACACACACACACACACACACACACTCCTCTTTGGTGATAAGAGTGCAAAACAAATGGTCTAGTCTGATGAGAGAGTAGTATGGTTATGGTAGGACCCCAAACCATGTGTTTTACAACAGGAATGCGATTTCCCTCTTTGTTAGATGTAAAAAGCATTCTACGCGCGCCCGCCCGGCCCTACCATAAGGCCGACAAAGTTTGGGTCCTACGGGGAAGAGCACATTTTTTTCCGATAATCGAGGCATTTATGCTCTGTTTGGTCATATGAAAAAATATAACAAATTAGAAGAATAGGAAATTATAGAGATAGATAAAATATTATATTTGGTAAGAAAGAGAAGTCGGAAATATGGAAAAGTGGATGAATTAATTTTTCTTTCAACTCACCAAAATCAATCCTTTAAAATCGGAAGGAAAGTGAATAAAAAGTTAATTATTTGTGTTAAGATGTATCTTATTTGTCTATATATATATATTATTTATACATTAATTTTATATAAAAATATAATGATAAAATATGTATATATATATATATATTAAAAAATAAAAAAAATTAAATTAAAAAAATATATTTTTTTCATTTTAACTATATGTAGAAATTTTCGACTTAACACGATGACACGATTACAACTCGACACAAAATTTATGACACGAACTTGATTAAAATTCGACACGAACTTGAAAATGATCTGACACGCGAACAAGAAATATAAAAAGCTCATAATTTTATGACTCAACATAAATCGGACACGACACGACTCGATTGTCAACTTTAATCTTAGCCATCACAAAATAAAATTAAAAAAAAAATTAGTCATTTTTATTTTCCATCCATCCAACCAAACATAAAGGAAAAAAAATGTATCATTCCTATTTTTCATCTTTGAGGGATAGAAAGTGTATCTCTCTTATTTTTTATTCTTCCTACCAAACGGAGTATTAACTTTTTAAAGGAATTTTTTTGATATTTATAAGTGAGACTTATATATTTGTCAAAACATCATAACTACCTATAAATATTTAAAAAAATAAATTAAGTGGGGGTAAATCTTTAATAAATTTTAAAATTTTTGAAATTATGCTTACTCCTCGTCTCCGCTGTGGATCCACCACTGTCAGCTTTAGGCCTCATGTTCAAAGAAGGCTCAAAATTTCTAGGTGTATTGTTATTAGTCCAAATAAAAAGAAAAATTTAGATCCATAAGATTTTAGACTCCAAAAAAACCTTATTAAATCTAGACCTAATCAAAAATAAATTTTTAGTTGTCGCTTTAGACCTCAAGGTTGCCTCACACGTGCGTGCATGTATGCACACACACACAGACATACACATTTATGTGGAAGTTCATTATCTTTGCAGAAACATGAAACGCCACATACATAAACAAAATTTGAACATAGTTCCCACCAAATACATATGGTAATGTGATTAGTTATCAGTTTTGCAACAGAAGATAAGAGAATGAACATGGATTGGTTCGATGGAGCGGACACAGAGATGTTTGCGTTCGATGAATCCCCCATTAATTTTCTGGTGTATCTGCAGACTTCCAATTGTAGTTCTCAAAGAAAGCATAGTCTCTTTCACCACTGACTTCATCAATAGGAACTGAATCAGAAATTTTTTTCAAATCCTCTTGTGTAAGCTTTATTGCCAAGCATCCAATGTTGTTGTCAAGGTTCTTAATCTGAGTTGTCCCTGCAAAACATTAACAGGAAAATTTGAATTATCTGATGAATCACAATTTTAAACTATCATCTAAACCTTGTTCAATAAGACCAACACATGATGTGACTCATGAAAGGATGGGATGATACGGGAAAATCCATCCAATACGGGGAAAATGCAAAAACAAAGTTTTCTGCATAAAAAGAGTGGAACATTACCAGGGATGGGGATCACGTCGCCTCCTTGGTGCAGAAGCCATGCTAGAGCCAGTTGAGGGATGGTACAATGATGCTTTGCCGCCAAGTTAGCTAGACGGGCATATAGAACTTTGTTCTTCTCTACATTCTCCTTGCTGAACCTCGGATGGAGAGCCTATGGTATAAAGATTTAGTTTCAAGTACCATATTTAAAGATAACAATGAAGAGTAGTATCCTCCTTGTGTTACAGTAGAATGAAAATGATCAAAACTAGATTGTACAACGCTTGTTATTTCTAGTCACATACCAAAATACTTTCTGTTGGCAAATTCTCCACAACTGCTTTCCCAGCGAAGAACCCACGACCAAGAGGGCTATATGCTACTATTCCAATACCAAGCTTTCTGTAAGACAAGGGGTGTTTAGAAGCGTAGAGCTCATTTACATTAAAGTGATGACCATAATGCCTTTGCAGCATTTTCAATCTCTAATTTACAAAATTCATGACCCAAGTAGAATGGAAAGTTTTTTTTTGGATGCACTAGCCATCAGAGCTAGACAACAATGTACCTGCAGAGTGGAATTATATCATCTTCAATATCACGAGTCCACAGAGAATACTCCATTTCGACTGCGGTGATGGGAAGAATAGCATGGGCTCTCCTTATTGTGTCTACACTTGCTTCAGATAGCCCAATGTATTTTATCTTTCCCTCCTCCACCAGCTTCTTGAGCTCCCTCATCTACCTTGCCAAAAACATCCAACTATTAGTTCACTTAAGGAAAATATATAACAAAATAGGAAGGTCCTCCGCACAAAGCACAACAACTGTCCAGATGGATTGGATCCAATAACTTATCTTACGATTTACATTTTAACTTTTTAAGTCCGGTAAATCTATCTCTTTACATGTTAAACTTTTAACAACATTAAATCTACATACTCACATTTTAATCGCCCACTTACATTTTGGTCATGTGTAACGTAGTACTAACTAAACTTGGATACTTCAGTAAACACAAAATGTCGATAGACTTACAGTTTCCTCTATTGCCAGTGAAGTGTCCACACGATGCTGATAGTATATATCGATATAGTCCACATCTAGTCTCTTAAGACTAGCTTCACAGCATTCCCGCACATATTCAGGAGTTCCCTTGACCCCCCATTGACCATCCTCTAATTTGGTAACGCCAAATTTCGTAGCTAATTGAATCTTTTGGCGAGGAAGCTGCTTCAAAGCCTGAAAAAAAAAAAAGAAAAAGAAGTGTCACATCTTTGATGTTCAAAAACAACAAATAGAAAATAAAAAATTGGCAAAATGTTCATATGATAATGGAGCCTACTCTGCTTAAACCAAATTCAGCTTATTCCACAAATTGAGTTACTTCTCCTTGCCTAAATGCAGGACGAATTTTACTTATATCTTGATTAACATAATTATCTTTCTTCTTCTTCATGTACACTGTCCATTATTAATCAATTGCAGTGAATAGAAATGTAGTTTAGGAAGTGAGGCAATTCTGGATAACTAAAAAGATAGCTATCCCTCATTCATGCTCCACACAGGTTCAAAATTCCAAAACTGAAGTTGTACCTTTCCAATCATGATCTCATTGTCATAATTTTCTCCATAGATATCAGCAGTGTCAAAGAGGGTGATACCCTTATTAAATGCTTCTTTTATAATGGAACATCCAGCATCATGGGAAAGAGGGGCATTGTAAATTCCTGAAAGTCCCCCGCATCCCAAGCCCAATCTAGATACCTGCAGGACAAGGAAGACCTCCATTACTCTGAAATTAATTTATTTAGGACAAAGAAATGAATGTCATGAGTTACCAAACACAGTAGCTGGAGTTTGACAAGGTAGTAACCAAAAAAAAAAAATTGACTTAAAATCTGAGGTCTTTTAACTTGCCAACATGATTTGTCCCTTTAGCTGATGAACTGGACCCTGAACTCAATCCTATGGGAATGTCTGATGTGATCTTTTAGCCACAGGTGGTAGAAAAAGTGTGCTATTTCTTGGTCTCATCAGCTGTATATAAGTAAGAGGATTTTACATTTCCAGTCAAATTTCACATATTTAATTAACTTGGATAGCATATCTATCCGACGATGCTTTTTATTTAGATTATCGACTGACGTTCCAAGATGCATTTGTTTTTTAAATACTGATATAGTACTTAATCACATGCTCGCGAGACAAATATTAGAACTCCAATTACAGTTTCTAGTAGTCTGGAAAACTTTTTACTTGTTTGTTCTTTCTTTCCGACAAATAGCTTGATTATGCAATCACAGATGTGGAATCGAAGAGGCCTGAAATTTAGTTATCTTTGAAAGTTCAAGTGTTTCGTTGAAAAACATTTTCTTATTTAGTATCAAGCATTAGCAGACTGTCATGGAATGTCCATTACTGTTAGTCTTTTTATTCAGTGAGAAAAAAAATACAGCAATGTTAAATCAAATTTAAGCCCACACTGCTGATAAAACAATATTTATATCCAGTTAGTGAGAGATTGAATTGAAAATCAAACACTAGATATAATGATTATTGTTGTCAACCCATTACTGAGATTCCAACAATGACAAACCGATGGAGCAATTCATCAAACAGTTAACAATCCAGTTTATGAAAAACTAACATTTACATCAGTTATTGAGAGATCCAAGTGAAAATCAAACACTAGTTAAAATGATACTAGTTCTAAACTCATTAATCAAATTACAAACAATGAGAAGCAGATGGAGCAATTCATCAAACCGTTGAAATCTAGTTTATGAAAATAATTCCAGTGCCCAGTACCTGAAATGATGATGATGATGATGCTGAGACAAGTGAACACAAATATGAGTTACTTGTTTATTGATACTTATCAAACAATATAGAGATTACTACCCGTGTAAAATAATTTTGAGTTTCTATCAAATGGGTAAAGAAAAGAACAAACTCTACCTCCAGTCCTTGATTACCCAGTTTCACCATTGGCATTTGGAGTTGGGACTTCTCCTCCATTTCTCCTCAAGAACCCTATGCAGTTTGATTGAGTCAACTCTCTCAATCTCTGGCTATTTGTTTCAATGATATTTGGTGGCAAGAATGCAAAATAAAAATACTCTCTTCTGGTGAGACTTCTCACCATTACAGGTATAGGCAGGGACTTCCCACCAACAACTCCTTTTTTTCCAATCATCTGTAGCATAGCATTGTCCATTTCTTCTTTAAAAATTATGGGTTTCCAATCTTCTTCACATTCATACCTTCATTATTGTCCATTTCTTCTTACAAAAAATGGCAAAACCTACAACCATATGCCTCTTGCTTTTATGCCAGCTGAAAAACCAACAATACCCTTTATATGATGATATAGTTTTATTATAACCATTGGATTAGTACCAAATTCTAAGGTTTAACGGAATTTACGTTCAATTTAATGAATTAGATCAATAAATTAAGTCCCAATAATATTATTCATAAATATTGTGACTCATTATCAATTCAATAGTTATGAATGATTAGGTCAATAAATTAAATTTAAATAACACTGCTATAATTACTAAATTAACCAAATTTTATATATCGGTTGAACTAGTGAGTCTCACGTACTCCCATTAAATGTTCAATGCATAAAATTTCAATATATTATTTAAAATGCAACATTTGATAAGTTTATTTGGGAGGTATAATTTTATTGCTTAAAAAATATAGCATCTATGAGACCATCCTAGGCCCTTATCTAAACCTTTATTTAAATTTGAGTTAAAAAAAATAATAAAAAACTTGATTTGATATAGAGTTTTCCGATGAACAAACCTTTTTTGTACTCAAATATTTTTAAAAGTTCTCATGTTATCCCAANTAATGCATAAAATTTCAATATATTATTTAAAATGCAACATTTGATAAGTTTATTTGGGACGTATAATTTTATTGCTTAAAAAATATAGCATCTATGAGACCATCCTAGGCCCTTATCTAAACTTTTATTTAAATTTGAGTTAAAAAAAATAATAAAAAACTTGATTTGATATAGACTTTTTCGATGAACAAACCTTTTTTGTACTCAAATATTTTTAAAAGTTCTCATGTTATCCCAATGATAACTAATTTTTGTTTTTGTTTTAAATAAAATTATATTTCTTTTTCCTTTTATCAAGTTCTCAAACTCCAAGAACCAGAGATACGGTAAAGGTAAAGCCCAGGTTTTGCCGAGGAGCTAGAGATGCTCTGATCCCTTCCAATGATGTACATCTGAATTTTCTTGGTTCTGTGAATACTTTCTCTCTAAGGTGTGGATGAAGAAAACTAGGAGAAATCAAGAAGAAAACAAATGGGTNAGTTCTGTGAATACTCTCTCTAAGGTGTGGATGAAGAAAACTAGGAGAAATCAAGAAGAAAACAAATGGGTCTGTTCTGTTGCACAAATACAGACAATAACACTGCAAGCAATGACAGTATGTATAGATGCGTCTACATCTATTTGTATAGATGTATATATAGATTCCTATATATACATTGTTTGTGACAAAATCAACGAGAGTAGATTTTTACCGTTAGATTTTTGGGTCTAGCTTTTAAGTCTCTCTTAATTTGGGTTTAAAATAAAATCTCTCTTCATTTAGTATGAGTTTGAGTAAAAAAACGGAAGATGAGTTTTAAACTATTTTTATCCTAATTTAAATTTAAGTCAAAAAAAAAAGTTTGTACTGGAGACACTCTCAGAATTTAAAGTTGACAGACAGGTACAACTTACAATCTAGCAACTCAACTCAACACAGATACAAACAGAATATGTAGGCCATATCGACACAAATCTTNGTCTAGCTTTTAAGTCTCTCTTAATTTGGGTTTAAAATAAAATCTCTCTTCATTTAGTATGAGTTTGAGTTAAAAACGGAAGATGAGTTTTAAACTATTTTTATCCTAATTTAAATTTAGGTCAAAAAAAAAAGTTTGTACTGGAGACGCTTTCAGAATTTAAAGTTGACAGACAGGTACAACTTACAATCTAGCAACTCAACTCAACTCAACACAGATACAAACAGAATATGTAGGCCATATCGACACAAATCTTGGATTGTCTCCCTCATGAGACAATTCATGAAGTGCATGTGCATACTGCATAGTAACACAACTTAAAAGGATTTTTGGTACTCATTTTACATTCAGCAAATACTAGTAATAATCTTGCATACGATGAACTGTTAGTTTAAAACATCAGGGACACTGTTCTGCTTGTAAAACAGGAGGAAGTTGGGGGTGGGGTGATGAATAAAAAGAACATTCTACATACGCATACATATAAAATCAAGTACATTGTTTTTGTGGCAACCTGAAATGCCACATGCATAAAAAAAGAAAATTCGAACAGAGATTGCCAGCAAATACATGTAATTTGTAATCACTTATTAATGTTGGAACAGAAGGTATGAGAATGGACATGTTGTTCAATTGAGTGGACACAAATGTATTTGCTCTCATGATTTCCCATTAATTTTCTGGTGTATTTACCACCTTCCAAGTGTATTTAGCCCACATACCCACAGCTCTTTCACCACTGACTTCATCGATAGGTACTGAATCGGAAATTTCTTTCAAATCCTCTGGTGTAAGCTTTATAGCCAAGCATCCAATGTTACTATCAAGGTTCTTAATCTTAGTTGTACCTGCACAATGTCAAAGCAAAGATCTGAAATAATCTGTTAAATCAAAGTGTTACATTGATAACTACATGAGCTAAATCTTTATGAACAAAAGCTGTTTTTCAGGCTTTAAGGCAGCCAAATAAAATTATATGCCGCAAGAAGTTCCAAGCATAAGATAGGTTCATAAGATCTCTGATCTGAACCTAAAAAATGCAAAACAAATAGCCTTAATATGACATTGAATGGTATTGGAAACGCTGACCAATACATTGAAAAAATGAACGAACAAAAGTTTCAAAAATACTAATGGTGTGTTTAGTTGGGTGAATGGAAAGAAAGAAAGTAGGATTGATACATTTTCTATCATCCAATAACAAAAAAAATTCTTCCCTTTTTTGTGTTTGATAAGAGAAACGAAAAGTAGGACTGATTGATTTTTTTTGTGTTTGCCAAGGATGGAAACATGGATGCTGGGAAAAAGTATACATGCATATTTTACAATCGTATTTATGTATGACATTAATATACACAAAATTTGTAATAGCTCAATATGACATGCATATATTAAGCAACATAAAGGTATATAATCTACATTTCAAAATATATAATTAACTTTATTTACACTTTTCTGCCCAATTTAGGAGAGAGATATTTGGATAGTTACAAGGAAGATCAATCCTTCCACTTCTCCTTCCTTCCCAGAGTCCCAGACATGATGTTTTATTTATTCATCCAATCATCCTATATTCCATTCTTCAATTTTTCCATCGTACCAAACAAACCATAAGAGTAGACCAGACATACCAGGGATTGGGATCACATCCCCTCCTTTATGTAAAAGCCATGCTAGAGCCAGTTGAGGGATGGTACAATGATGTTTTGCAGCCACAATACCTAGACGGATATATATAGCTTTGTTCTTCTCCACATTCTCCTTGGTGAACCTCTGATTGAGAGACTATGACATGAAGATTGAGTTTCAGGTACCATACTCAAAATAATGATGAAGAATTGTCTACTACTTGTCTTTATATAAGCACACATGGAAATCAAAATGTCCAAAAATAGATTGTGGAAAGCTTGCTTTTGTTGCCAGCTACATACCAATATACTTTCTTTTGGCAAATCCTCTACAACAGCTTTTCCACCGAAGAACCCTTGACCAAGAGGGCTATATGCTACTATTCCGATACCAAGCTCTCTGTAAGCAGAGAGCCATTAAAGTTTAGAGCCTAGTACCATTAAAATGATGACCATAATAAATTTGCGGCATTTGTAACATGTCTAATTTTGAGCAATATCATAATCCCTGGGAAGAAAACCATGACCCAAGTAGGACTTTAAAGGTATTGGCTGATGAACTAACCATCAGAGCTAGATTTCAATGTACCTGCAGAATGGAATTATATCGTCTTCTATCTCACGAGTCCACAGAGAATATTCCATTTGTACTGCGGTGATGGGATGAATAGCATGGGCTCTCCTTATTGTGTCTATACTTGCTTCAGATAACCCAACATATTTGATCTTTCCCTCCTCCACCAGTTTCTTGAGCTCCCTCACCTATCTTGCCAAAAAATACAAAAACAAATTGTAACCAGTTCATCCTTAGAAAATACTAATTAACTAAACTTGGACATTTCAATAAATAGAAACTGTGGCTGTGGCTGTGGCTGATACTTACAGTTTCCTCTATTGGCACTGTAGTGTCAACACGATGCTGATAGTATAGATCAATATAGTCCACATCTAGCCGCTTAAGACTAGCTTCACAACATTTCCGTACATATTCAGGAGTACCCTTAACCCCCCATTGACCATCCTCTAATATTGTAATACCAAATTTCGTTGCTAATTGAACCTTTTGGCGAGGAAGCTGCTTCAAAGCCTGAAAAATAAAACACGTGTCACACCTTTGACGATAAAAAATCAGAACAAATAAAAAGCTAAAGGTGAAAATCTGCATTGCCCATTTCTTAATGAAGTCTACTCTGCTCAAAAAATTCCAATGCTAAATTTGTACCTTTCCAATCATGATCTCGTTGTCATAATTATCTCCATAAACGTCAGCAGTGTCAAAGAGGGTGATACCCTTATTAAATGCTTCTAATATAATGGAACATCCAGCCTCATGGGAAAGAGGGGCATTGTAAATTCCTGAAAGTCCCCCGCATCCAAAGCCCAGGTGTGAAACCTGTAGGACAAAAAAGACTCCATTACTGAGAAATTTAGCTTTTTCAGATGAACAAATACATGCCATGGAAGTTACCCAACCCAGTATCTGGAGTTTGATATAATATCTGATGTCATTGAACTTGCGAAGATGATTTGTCCATTGAACCGATGAGCTGGACCTTGAACTCAATCATATGCGTCAGCGTATATCTGGTACTTCCCACATCCCACAATGTCGCGAGTCATTTTTTTTTTAATCGTTTTGCCCGATGAATAAAGACAATTGTGCCATGTCTTGGTCTCATGAGGTACGGGTAAGAGGATTTTACATTTCCAGTCAAGTTTCACATACATGGTTAGCTCTGGAAGCACTCATATCAGATAATGCTTATGATTTAGATTTTAGATTATGGAATGGACAACAATTCTTCTTGAGGTAATGATATTGTAGCGATCACATGCTCATAAGCTTTTTCAACTATTAGAAGTCCAAGTTCAGTTTTCATTAGTCTGGATAACTTTTTATTTGCTCGTTCTTTCTTTGCGACAAATAGCTTGATTTTCAATTTCTGTTATCCAGCTTGAGAACTCATAATCAATATGCAACTTAAGATGCAATTCGAACGGGCATGAAATTTAAGTTNTAACTTTTTATTTGCTCGTTCTTTCTTTGCGACAAATAGCTTGATTTTCAATTTCTGTTATCCAGCTTGATAACTCATAATCAATATGCAACTTAAGATGCAATTCGAACGGGCATGAAATTTAAGTTAATCTTATAAACTGAAGCTTGTTTCTTCTAAGAGCAGAATGGTTCAACAACATTAAATGTCTGTACTGCATCACCAAGGAGAAGGAAGTATAGATTTTTCTCTCAGTATCAAGCATTACCCAGACTGAACCTCCACTAATGTGGCAGCCACTGTATATAAAAGATTGAATTGAACATCAAACAACTGGATACAATGTCAAGCTATTCAAGATTCATGTTGTCAACTTAATACTTGAATTACAAACAAGGAGAAGCAGATGGAGCAATTCATTAAACACTTGAACTGCAGTATACGAGAAACATTCTGGTAGCCAAATCTAAACTGATAGTGAGACAAGTAAGGCTATCATTTTGCAATACAGTAACTCTGATACTGGATAAACAAAATATAGAAGATCACCACCCATCTAAAGTAAATTTGACACTCTTTAAAAAAGGGTCAAGAAAAAGAACAAAATCTACCTCCAGTCCTTGATTACCCAGTTTCACCCTTGGGATTTTGAGTTGGGGCTTCTCCTCCATTTCTTCTCAAGAACACTAACTTGGTTGAGCCACCTCTCGCTATCTCTGCCTCTAATTTTCGTGGAGAAACTTCAGTGTATCCACAAGTGATTAAACACTTTTGCACTTTACCTTGCTTGAGCTTTGTAAATAGCACGCAACCAATGTGGTTAGTCGATCTAAGTGCACCTTTAACTCTTGTTAACAGAATTTGTAAAATGACTCTAATACCCATTATTCATCACATCTTTATTTGTAATTAATAACTCAAAAGCTACACTCTCCTGCACTCCCTGTGGCATGCACTATTTCTAAACGCCAAGGACAAAATCACAAGTTTAGTCATCAAACTTCTTGGTCTGCCGCAGGCATTCTTGGTCTCCCCTATCATCTATGCACTCAACGACTTAAACTAGCTTGTTAATTTTGGCTGTGGGCGGTGGTTTGTGCGTGTTGTGAACGACGTCTATGGTTATCTGGTTGTTGTGTGGGTGGAAGGGTTGGAGATCAGGAAGAAATCTAGAAGAATAAAAAGTGTTCATCAATTTTAACAGTGCGTGCAACATAAGCGCCTATAGCAAGAATTGGTTTGTAAATCACATTTTGAAAAGTATAACAGTGCATTTTAGTTCACTAACTATGAGGGAGTAATATACTAGTTCTAAAGCTCATGGAAGTAAAATGAAAAAGAGTTTAGCCACAATGAAGTAAGATTTTTTTTAGAATTAAAGGAGCAAAGAAAAAGAATAAAAGTAGATTCAAATATTCAATGATTGCAAGACTCAAGTTTCAAAAATAAATCATAGAGGAATAGAGGCAGAATAGAAAATGAGATCTATGACAAGAATGTTCAACAAGTTACTTACGGGAGGGTATGATCGATCGTGCAATATAATTTCAAAGAAAGACTAAAAGGGGTTGTTTGATTATTAAGACTAAAAGGGGTTGTTTGATTATTGTATTAAAAGATGGATTATAGAATTATAACAGATTAAAACTTACTAATTCAATCTTATATTGATTTTGGTTAAAAAAATATATTATGTATTATATATAATCTTATTTCAAATACTTATTGGATAAACCACATAAATAGCCCTTGAACTTTACTGTTTATTTTAAATTGCCCCCTAAACTTTTAATTTTTTTATTTTACCCCCTAAACTATTTAAATCATTTTAATCAACACCTTCCGTTAGATTTCAACGTTAAATAGGTAACGGCAACTGCATATGACAAATAGTCAAGGGTAGTTTCAGCATTTCAACAATTAAGGGTTTAGGTGCCAAAATTTCCTCACTTCAAACCCCTACTGATGCTTTGTTTTATTGATCCATGCTCTATTCTGTCCAGTTGAGAGAGAGAGAAAGGACCAAGTCATGGATGTTTACTGCCACTATGAGAGAAGAGCAGTGATGAAGACGTCCTGGACTGATATTAATCCAGGTAGGAGGTTCTTCTCTTGCTACATGTCCATGGTAAGTTTCTAACATATACAGCCTGGACTGAAACCAAGCCATGGATATTTGTTGTCATTAATGTTCTTCTCTTGTAAGTAATTTACAGATTCAAACATATTTGATATGCTTCGTGTACTTGTAGAATAGGGTTACAAGTTCTTCGACTGGTATACCCCACCTATGTGTTCTCGTGCGCAACAGATAATCTCAAGACTTATAAAACGAGTTTCAGTTGCAGAGAAATAAGTTAGCAAACAAAAAAGAAAAGAGTGTTTCCTGTGGGTTGCATTGCTAATTTCGTGGTTGGTAGTGAGGGCATTATCCAGCAATGCATCTAGTGGAGAAGCATTAGCAAGCTTAGACAGTCGACTTAAACCGATTGTAAACGTTGATTAAGAGAAATTGCAGGAGAAAGTGCTAAATGTGTAAAAAATGTAGTAGTAATGGGAATGGCAATATAAATTGCTTGTATCGTATGGATGGTTTGTTAAGTTAGTAAGGATGTAATGTTAATTAGTAATGAAAAGATGTAGTTGGTGTATTTGTTAGGTTAGTAATGATGTTATGCTAATTTCTGATATGCTTCAGATGAATCAATGTCTTCAAACAGAAGAAGGAAAATCATTCTGCAGACAAAATATGATACTTGAGACAAAAAACTTTGCTTCATTTGATTGAAGTTCATCTATACAAACACACAACACTTGAGCAGTGGTTACAAGGTGGCTTGCACTTAGCTAATACAAACAAAGTCCAAAACAAAAAACAAAAAACAAAGAACCTACATCTGGAGAATTTTTCATATCCTTCTAAGTTATGTCCACCTTCTACTTTGTCCATCCTACAAAATATTCAACCATCAGTCACACTATTGCACCCATCCTTTTTCTTTTTTCTCATTGTTTCAGCTCTCTTTTGTAGTGATAAGCGTGTTACAACCCTCTAACCCTTTAATGCGGATGGCCTGCCCTCATTTGGATAATGAGATTGTGGAGGTTGTGACATTCCTGGCCTCACAAAAAAATGACCATGGGCTGCTGAATATGACCAAGCTACATTTGTGCTTGATGGTTGTGATTGAATTGGGACTGAGCTTAATGGTTGTGATTGAATTGGGATTGAGCTTGATGGTTGTGATTGAATTGGATTTGAGCTTGATGTGTCATTGGCTTTAAATCTTTTTACCTACATTGAAATATAACATTTGAATATGAAGGCAAATATGATCATAACAAATAACTAAGTATCATAAGTACAAGACATTCGCAGGTAATTTAGGTCTTCTGCCACTTGTAGAATTAGTTGAAACATTTTTTTCCACCTTTGTGACTAACCTTGGTAAACTGTTTGACCCTTTGCAACTTCTTTGGTTGTAGCCAAATTTACCACATCTGCTACATGTCATCTTAACTCTTTTCCTACCTAATTTTCTAACTTTAGGAGGATCATCAAATTCTCTTCTTCTTGTTTTCTTTGGTCTGCTTGGTTGCACATGAGCTATAGGTGGATCTAGGGGTATTTTTTCTTGTTGGAGGCACAAATCACTTCCATTGATGGGATGCAAAACATGGTCATATGTCTTTAAGTACATCTATTTCTTGAAACAATTATGAATAAACAAGTGAGGGTCTCTGCCATGATAGCGAATTGCTCACACAACATGAGCACATGGAATTCCACTAAAGTCCCATTTTCTACAACTACAACTTCCATCTCTTAGCAACTTCTTTTGCTCACTCCGCACCACATTTATGGACCCACTCACATTATGGTCTTCCTCCATAGCTTCCCTAAAGGCTTTTAATGGCCATTCAAGATTTGATCTAATCTTGTGCATGTATTTTTAAGATAGCTAGTTTGTTGTTACATGCTTGTTATGCCATGACCAGTTGCAATTAGTGTGTTCATCATTAAATGTCTTCACTTGCATTGTATCCTCATCTTGGATCTTGGATGCCAATATCATCCATTCATAAGATGGCTTGCACTTAGCCTTGACCCTGTGCTTCTCATTTCTGACAAACTTCATGTCCTTTCTTTTTCAAATGGCATAATGTTTAACAACTTCCTAAAACTGTTGCGATGACGCAAACAACATACCCAACTTGAATTCAGGATGTTCAATGCCTGTGTTTGGACTAAATTCTGCATATCTTGGTCTTGGTTTAGAACTTTCCACTGCATCATCATCAGATGAACTGTAAATCTTTCTAAGTTCATCAGAAGTAGCAACATCATCAGAGAAGGCATCTGTGTCCACTGTAGGTTCACTATTGTTTGTACATTGCTGCCTCATATTTGTATCTTCACCCAATCCACCAAACTCAGCCACATTGTCTACATATGTGTCAAACAAGTAATCATCAGTTTCTTCTTCACCATTGTTAGACACTTTTTCATAATTTGATCCATCTGAATGATCACCATCAACTGCATCATATTGTTTCTGTGCATCATATTCTTCCTGTGCATCATATTCTTCTTGTGTAGCCTTTTCATTAACCTCATCTTCGTCACCCAAGTCATATTCCAGGTATACTTCTATTACCTTGTTCTTGGGAACCAACTCTAGCATTCCTAATACATCACTGTCATCCTTTAACAACCTCAAACCATCGATGAACTTCATTCTAGGAACTCTATAGTGATACCTAGTAACCACCTCACACTGTAATTTTTTGGTCATTTCACTTATCTCAAGGAGAGAGATCTTATCAAGATCACACAAATCAAAATAGTTAACTTTTCCTCCTAAAGTACATTCTGCAAGGCATATACTTGAACTTACCACCATAATGCATTTCTATAGTGAAAAAATTTGGGTATAGACCTGCTCATGCATTGTGAAGCCAACACAAGAATAAATTACAGTCAAATGCTGACAATCAATATAGAAAAATTCAAATAAATTAGTTCGTTGTTATAGTCAAACACCCAAATTCTTTAAGAAACACAATACCCAATACCCAACACCCAAATTCTTTAAGGAACATAGTATCCCCAATGCCCAAAACTCAACACTCATATTCTTTNTTGTGTCCACTGTAGGTTCACTATTGTTTGTACATTGCTGCCTCATATTTGTATCTTCACCCAAACCACCAAACTCAGCCACATTGTCTACATATGTGTCAAACAAGTAATCATCAGTTTCTTCTTCACCACTGTTAGACACTTTTTCATAATTTGATCCATCCGAATGATCACCATCAACTGCATCATATTGTTTATGTGCATCATATTTTTCCTGCGCATCATATTCTTCTTGTGTAGCCTTTTCATTAACCTCATCTTCGTCACCCAAGTCATATTCCAGGTATACTTCTATTACCTTGTTCTTGGGAACCAACTCTAGCATTCCTAATACATCACTGTTATCCTTTAACAACCTCAAACCATCGATGAGCTTCATTCTAGGAACTCTATAGTGATACCTAGTAACCACCTCACACTGTAATTTTTTGGTCATTTCACTTATCTCAAGGAGAGAGATCTTATCAAGATCACACAAATCAAAATAGTTAACTTTTCCTCCTAAAGTACATTCTGCAAGGCATATAC